AAGCAACTTTTTAATAAGTTAATTTTTCAACAAATTCGATAATTTTTTTCCGTGTTTGTTATTAAAATAAGGCCATTTTAGTGAAAGAATCATAGGTCAAAGGGTTAAAGTAGCTAATGTTGGTCTTAGTATATACTCTAATATTTCATATGGCCACAAAATTTCCCTGTAATTAAACAAATTTCAAAATTTTCTTCAGGGCTTGCAGTGCCCGAACAGCCAGTTGTATCGGCTCGTTGATCTCACCAGTATCTATTCTTAGCCTACATTTTGGCAAATGGATCGTCGAATCTATTGTTGCGGGTTGCGAAGGATCCCCCATATCTGTTCAAGCTTCAGGGGTCCCCAAAAATGTAGGTCAGCCATTGAAGTAGAGTGAAGGCGCGCTTTGGCATATCTGTTTGGCCATGTTATCTTGGGCTACATAAACAGCTAGTTATATAATAAAAGCTTTTCTCAAATTGCGGTTAAGCAAGCTACCCATTTTTACCCATTTTTAAATGACGAAGCTGCTTCATTTCTCCGACAAGACATAAAGCTGGCATCACTCTCGCCAACTCAGTGCTATTAGATAAAGTGGAGTAAAACTTACCGCTCTATTTTGGTTTTAGTAGTAAGCAGGTTTTTACGTGGTGTAGTTTACAGTCCCATCTTCAACCAGTTTGAAATTCAGAGTTTTTACTTCTATTAGTTGCCAACTATAACCTGAGATTTCAGTCTGTCATACCATTTAACCCATAGACGGATTCACACCTTTCACAAGAGTATTTGTGCGAAAGCGAACGCAACGAACTAGGCCGGAATTTCAACTCGACAAACCAATTCCATTTACTGCGATGATAACAGCTATACATTTTTTTTGTTACAGTAAAGTTCATCCTTTACTAGGTCTGGGCCACACGTTGTAGAGGGTTACGTTAAGAGGTAGTTTATACAGATAAGAGGGTGAGATAACGGTTAACCCTGAACAGGTTAAGATTGTAGTGATCTGGGAAACATCCTCTTGGGAGCCGGTTCCACAGAACAGTGGTTCGCCGAAGAAGCTGTTTGCGTGGAACCTACTTCTCAACAATGGAATACGGAGGGAATGTGGGTGGTTTGCTTGCACTATAAGGAATGCAGTTCGTCCAATCATTTTCCATAGTAGTAACGATAGAGTAGCAAGAGGTTCGCCACATCTCGCCTGTGAGAGAGAGGTTGGAGGGTGGAAAATAATTCGTCACCCAAAAGGACACAGTGGCACTTTGGAACTCTATCGAAACTGGAAAGTGAGGACTGAGCAGGTACCGCCCAAATATGACAACAGGACTCCATTTTTCGACCTGATCTGGCTCTTGTAAAGGTAGCGGATATGATGAGGGGTCAGGTACTTACTCGAGCGGAGCCGACCATTTTTCTGGATCTTTGGTGATGGATATGCTATCCCCATATCCAGATTCTGGCACCCCAACTGAAGAAAATAAAAGCACTGGCCATGTAAACAAGTTAAATCTTCAACAGATGAGTATTGTCCCATTGTTTTTCGTTTAAGTGTAATGTTATGTTATAAAAAAAGGTACTTGTTTCTACAAAGGCGACTGTCCTCGTTTAAGCTGTTCAATCGTTTGAAATTCTAAGTTAATTCACAAATTATTTAGGCTGTTAGAAGTATTGTCCGCTGTTGTCTAGAGTAATGATTTAATACGAGAAGTGAAAGGAAACATGTTTAGGCAGGTTATTTTTGCTAAATGAATTGCTTGATTCCCTGGTGCTAAGGTGAATTATTCATGGACTCTCATTTCGTTGTGGACTAATGATTAAGAAGATCTTCTAACAGACTATTATTAAAAAATATAGCGTGTTCGATTGCCACTGGGCCTTACACATTTGTGGCCTTCGCTAAACTAAGCTCAGTGTATACATTACAAGTGCGTAACGGTTGTTAGCGCAAAAAGTGGAGTCAGCGAGCCGAGTTCGAATTACCGCCTAGTCTGTCGCGTTCACTTTTGCACAAATGCCTTTGAGAAAGACATGGATCCATTTCTTCTCAGCTCATTGATAGGTTATATTTTTTTAATTAATTCACCCCAAGCAAGGCGATAATGCCACTAAGACACAATGGATTACTTGGAGTGAAGGGAATGAGAAACACTATTTACATTATTCGGACTATTGTCCTCATCTTTGTCGCCATATTTATTACAAGGTTTCGGCCGTTGTACGCTCCGGCCTTCTTCAGGCGGTTGGAATGTCGAACTGAATCCTTTATTACGCTCACTGGGGTAGACTGTTCTAGTTCCACGTGCCATGTTTGATGGATGTCAGCTATCAGTTATCTCCTGTTAATTTTTCCCTCTGAAAGTTCTCCACTGACTTAACCGGGTATTGAACTCACACTCTTTGGGTCCTGTCACTGGATCTAACTAATGCCAAGGACAGATGGCACAGTGGTTAAAGGAATTAGTTAGATCCAGTGACAGGACCCAAAGAGTGTGGATTCAATTCCTGGTTAAGGCGGTGGAGAACTTGGAGAGGGGAATTAACAGGGGATAACTGATAACTGACATCCATTAGACATGGCACGTGGAACTAGAACAGTCTACCCCAGTGAGCGTAATAAAGGGTCCAGTTCGACATTCCAACCGCCTGAAGAAGGCCGGAGCGTACAACGACCGAAACGTTGTAATAAATATGTCGACAAAGATGAGGAAAATAGTCCGAATAGTGTAAATAATGTACATAATACCTCATCTCATACATATAGACAGATACTGAGAATGAAAAAAATTTAGAAGGAAACGGAAACTCAATCCTAAACAAGAAACGAGGCGTAAACCTTTACTCCTGTTCAAAAGACTGGGAAGGAGTATGACCCGGATGATAGGCGAACCTATATACTATTAAATATAGTATATAGTCTGGACTCTCGATATTTGAATTGTAACCAGTCTGATAAAAGGACTACTCTGATTTCAAAACCGTGGGGGAGGCCCTGGGAAACCATTCCACTCTCTTTCCCAAGATGTCATAGTAATTCACAGATAGTATAGAAAAAGAAAGCAGTGGAAAGCCGTCCCGAAAGAATATGGTATTTACCTTGCTATAGGTATCCGAATACTGCTGCCATATCTGGTCTGGTGCTCATGCTATTCATCTTGAGGCTCTTGACAAAATTCAAAGAAGGATCTGTAATGTAATCGATCATGACTTAGTATCTCGACTTCAGTCATTTTCTCACCGACGCGACGTAGCTTCCCTCTGTCTTTTCTACAAATATTTTCATGGCAACTGCTCTGACTAGCTTTTTTTTCCTTGGCGCCCCGACTACATGAATTTAAGCCTGCTACTAGATTGGCATTTAGGTTTGCATCCGTTTACTGTTGAAACAGCTAAGTGCAAACACCACTTCTACTATAACAGTTTCTTTTCTCGCACTTACCCACTGTAGAACTCTCTTCCGTTTACTTGCTTCCCTGATAACTACAATCTTCAAAAATTTAAATGCAACGTCAGTCGCCATCTTCTATCTTCTTTAATCCCGTTCATCTTTTGCCCTTTCCTCAATCCTTTCTATACTCGGTCTTTTCTCTCACTTTCACTCCCTACAACTCCCTGCGTACTAGTGGCATCTCCGTCTTACTTGAGGTGAAATGATTAAAAAAAAAATATCGGGAGAAATTCTAAAATTATTACATTTTATATTGAAAACGTCGGTTATTTGTAATAAATTTTAAGTTGTCCGAACTTTTTCATTATTATTCAATTTTAGACTTTGTTGACTTTTATTCTGTTGTTTTTTTTATCGCAACTCTCGGATCGTTTTTTACTCAACGGCCATAGACTAAATAAAAAAAAAACAAAGATAAGATAAGAGAAAAGAAAAACTATTGAAATTATTTGACTTTTGAATTTCCCAGAAGAAACAATGGATGTGTACGTAGTGTAACGGTTATCGGAACAAAGGATATAATCGACATGCCGAGTTCAAATTTCAAGTTCGTTTCGCGCTTTACCTTGGGAAAGTAAAATATGAATCAGTCGCTTTTTCTCAAGTTATGTGTTAAATAGCAGGATAGAGGAGGCACGCTTAGTCGTTCTCTCTTGGTTGGCAACTCTGAGATGGACAACTCTGATTTCAAAACCTGTTGGAAGTGGGGCTGATAAAAAAAAAAGAAAAGGCCGTAACCCTTTATACCAAAGTTTAATGGCATTACTGTAGAGAAGGAATTGAGTGCAGTGTAATGCTAAACATTGTTTGAATAATTGAATTCCTTCTTTGCATACTGGATAGTATTAACAGAAAGTTTCAGTATTCTTCACTTGTATTCAGTGAGATTAAAAAAAGAGAAAAGAAATCTCTAACTCCGCCAACGGAAAAAATCATTAACATACCAACCAAAAGAAAGAAACATATTTCCAACGAAAAAATAAAAAGTCATTAATATACCTATAAATTTTTTTCCTCCAATAAAAAAGTCATTAAACGGGAAAAATAAAGAAACCTTATCCTCCAACGAAAAAAACAAAACAAAATATAATTAAAACAAACAAAAAACTTCCTCCAATGACAAAAGTCATAAATATACCAACCAGAAAAAAGAAACTTTTACCTCCAATGAAAAAAAAAACCAAAAAAAAAAACTCAACAAAAACAAATAAAGAAAAATGTCATTAGTATGCCAATCGGAAAAATAAAGAAACCTCTATCGCCAATGAAAAAAAAAGAAAAAGAAAACAAAAAAAAACAATAAAAGCAGACAAAAAGATTTATTAATATACCAATGCAAAAACTAAAAAATCTCTATTTCCAACTAAAAAAAAGCAACAAACAAAAAAACAAAAAACAAAAGAAAATAAAACAAAAGCCATAAAAATAAACAAAAAAGTTATTAATAACCGGTAAATAGAAACGACCCCCGCCAAAAAAAACAAAAAAAAACAAAACAATAAAAACAAAAAGGAATAAAAACAAACAAAAATTGTTATTCATATACCAACCGAAAGAATAAAGAAACCGTTACTTCGAACAACAAAAAACATCATTAATATTCATTTCACAGAGATTGGTATCAAGTACCTATAAGTTTCCCAACACCTATTTTCCTAAGCAAAAGAAACCCACAAAGTATTGTAGTCTATACGAGTCTGATAAGAGTATATCAGGCACACGTATCACAGCCAAATAGGCGGGATATGGTGACAGACTTTGATAAACGCAGTGCATAAACTTTCAGATGGAGCCAATTAAAAATACATTCATGTTGGGTAATCCAATCTACTCAGACGGTCTGTGATTCAGGGTTTTCCCTAGTATCTAGAAATGACTCCCAAGTCGCCTTGACTGCCTCAGACTTCAAACCTGAAATTCGAACTCTGTCTGCTGACTCCATTTTCGGCGCTGTAAACCTCCACACCACTAATCACTCACAAGTTGATTCACTTCACACAAGGTTGATAAACAAAGAAGTCTTAACAGCTGTCCAAAGTCTAGTTGTCTATTTGTCAAGTTCAGATAAGTAATCTACCATTTGGATTAATTAAAGAGTGATGCTGTTGCCTTGAAAAACAAACCTTTGTCGACCTAGTGAAATGCATGCACGACTTTGACACTGTGTATGTCAAAGCGGTGATTATCATACATCGATCGTGTCATTTGCTGCTTACCTGTTTAGCGTCGTGGTAACAGTCAAGTGCGCACGCGTCGAGGAATTAACAAACCAGAGAAGCTAAATAAAGGAGCGGCTTTATCCAACCGAATGTTGCCACCTACATATCAACCAAAATATACTGTTTTTTTCCTTTCCTTTCTTTTGTTTTGTTTTGCTTTGTTTTGTTACCATCTTCAATTTATTTGTATTTTCTACATTCATTCTTTATCTATCAATTGCTACTTCTTTCACATAAGCCTCGATTTTATTTTGAAGTTTTAGCGTATTTCATGAATTTTACCAATCTTTTGTTTGCTCAACCCCGACCTCATGATTTTTTAATTCATGCTTAGCACCTTTCTTTCGTTATCTGTCCTTTGCTCTTTGATAATGTGACCATTTTTATTTTAAAGTCTCTTGACGAGTGGGCCGAAAGGTTCGTTCACGAAATTCTGGGAGTCGGGGTGCTTAAAATAACATCAATCAGCTACGTAACAATTTTTATTTGTATTAATTATTACCTATATATATATATATATATATATTATTTGCATTAATTATTACCTATGTATATGTTTGTATTAATTATTACTATATATATATTATATATATATTATGATATATATATATATATATATATATATATATATATATATATATATATATATATATATATATATATGAAAAACAGACCACTTTTAAGTGCCATTACAATAATTTATTTCACCAAAATCCTTTTTAAGGACTCTCGGATCATCAGGTAACAATTCCAACAATGAAAATTTTCATTGTTGGAATTGTTACCTGATGATGATCGGAGTCCTTTAAAGTGGTCTGTTTTTTGTGAAATAAATTGAGCTCTAATGGATTTCATCCTCCTTGAATTAAATTGGTTTACCAAGTTCTTTTAACTTATATATATATATATATATATATATATATATATATATATATATAGGTAATAATCCGTTGGTATATAATCCAAGTCAATCCTACAATATTAAATATTAAAACTGATTCACACATACAGCTCAATGTTTTAATTAAACAGCACAACCTATTTCATTCAATAGGAATTAAGATTACATTAGGTGATGATCATTATCACCTTGTAAACTGAAATAATAACTTACAAGTATTTTCAAACCAGTCAATGGATGATGAAATATTAATATAAAAATGGAAAGAAAAATGGAAAAAGTAAAAAGAGAAGGAATAGACAAGAAAGGAAAGGGTAAAATAAAAACTAGGGAGTAGTGTAAGTCTGGATATCGTGGGTGGTCAGAGGAGAAAGGCAGAGGAAAAAGAGGAGAAAAATGACCTATCGATTTTAGATACAGTAGCAATCTGAAGGTAGTTTAAACTTAAAGAAAACCTTTTTAAATCTATTAACAAAAACAATATTATATTCAATAATAAGAAATAAACCCATTTATATGAAAGGGAGATAATTCAGAATTAAAGATATTAAAATAAACAATATATCAAAAAATAATGAAGAAAAATATAAAAATTAAAATATTGAAATGATTATATTTTTCTTAGGATGATGTATCTCATTTAACATTTATATTTTAATAAACATATTTTAAATTAAACCTATATTAAACAATCCCTACCTACAAAGAAAAACAGTTAATATTTATCATTTTATATATAATAAACCAATCAAGAAGAAAATTAAATAAAAGTAAAAATCTACACTTAAAATTAGAAAATAAAGTAAATGGAGCCGTGCCTTTACTGATATATATATATTGTATTATTTGGTATGATAAAGTAGTATTTGAAAATTTATTTTAGTATAATATTTAAGGAATTTATATATTTTTTATGTATTATTTATTAATAGTTTTTATGTAATATTTAATATATTATTTTTTTTACTATTAATTAATTAATTAAAGTAATATATTTATATTTTATTATTTATTGCATAGTTATCTTATAAAGTTTATTCTAAAGGCACTTCTCCATTCACCTTATTTGACTTGTTTGAAAATCCTTGTAAATTACTATTTCAAAATTATACGGTGATAATGATCATTACCTAATGTAATCTTAATTCCTATTGTATATATATATATATATATATATATATATATATATATATATATATATATATATTGTGATAATAAAATAAGCACATCTCATTACCCATCCCGTTTGTAACTATCCATTACAATAAATATAACGTTTTTAGTGCTAAAGCTGACTTAGTCTAATAAAGCTTCATGAATTTCTACTTGGTGTTGTTTTTATATTACACGCACGCACGCACGCACGCACTCACGCACACACACATATATATATGTATTCAGTTTGATAGGTAAATTAATAAGTTTGTAGCCTGATATATTTTTAATAGATCAATTTTGAACAGACATTTTCCATGTATGTGATTAGTAATCCTTACTTAATTTCGTTGATTGACATAAAGATAAAAAAAAATAACTTTTTGTTAAATAATAATAAATGCTATTTTCATAATTAGGATAAGTTTTAAGGAAAAATTTAAAGAAAAAACTTTTACTATAAGAAAGTGCCAATAAAAAATCAATTTATACACTCTTATGAAGCATGCTTGAACACACATCTATCTATCTATCTATCTATCTATCTATCTATCTAGTCCTGTCTGTCTAACTTGTATATAGATTCTTTTTTTTTTTTTTAGATATATTCGCTCTTTCATCCATGTGCCTTATTTCTGGGATATCTTTCTTTCTTTTCTTTTTTCTTTCTTTTATTCTTTCTTTCACGTATACTCAGCCTTTTTATGCACATTTTTGTACATATTTCTTTCTTTCTTGCATCCAGATTCTTTGTTGTACATCTTTCTTTCTTTCTTTCTTTTCTTTCTTTCTTTTTTTTTATCCATTCTAACTTGTACGTACATTCTTTTTGGGAGATATTCGGCCCTTTTTCCATGTATATTATTTTGGGGACATATTTCTTTCTTTCTTTGTTTATCTCTGTCTGTCTGTCTGTCTTTCTTTCTTGTACTTACATTAGGTCTTACTTGTATATACATTCTTTTGGAGGTATATTTTTTCTCTCTTTCTTCTCAGTACCTTCTTTAATACCTGTCATCCACGACATCCTCTAAACTGTAATCTTAGTCCTTGTTGCACACACCTGTTCAGTAACGCCGGTCTAAGCCGTGCCTTCTCATAAATCATTTGAAAATGCCCGTCTTTAACCTGTAGGAAAGAACGCCCTCATAACACGTGAAAAGGACAGGAAAGGGTAGAGAGAACAACGTAGGCAAAAAATAAAAAAAATAACAAACTCTGTCAAACACTAAAGTTTTCAAACTGGTTTTGGCATTTAGAGAACTTACGCTAACATGAATCCTGTCTTACCATGTCAAATGCTAGATATAATATAAAAACGCAAAGTAGATGTTCATGTTCCTTTTCCTGTTCTCTCAAATCGAGGGATGGTCATATTAGTTTCATTATACCGCGTGTCTAATCATGTCGACACGATGTAGCTGTTAAACGAACAAACATGTCTGCCGCCTTGTCCTTTAGACGCTAAAAAAGGACATTGTTCCTTCCCCTTACTGGATGTGCGTACGTCTATTTTCTTATTCAGAGTTTTTTTTTTTTTGTTATTAAAAAGTGGGGATTCGTACCGAAACTTGAGAATTTTGAAGGTAAGGAGGTGGTTGAGTAGTTTATGATTTCAGGTGTAAAATGAGTGCACGCTGATTTGTTCAATTTTTACTTATTTTCTTTTTCTAATTAAAGACGCGGACGTTTCTCCTTCTAATATGATGTGCCGTGTCCCTTCAAGACGTAGGTGATCATGGCTCTCTACAACTTCCTATCCCTTGTAGCCCTTAGCAACGTTTGTCCCATTGCTCAAACTCTCATCATCCGTTCCACCATCCATTTACAAAAGTTCGTCAGATAGTTTGCTCGCTTTCTTCCCTTGTCCTTTTTGCTTTCGATATGTGATACGAGTGTCAGATTCTCTAAGCTCACTTTCCTCATCTGCTCAGGTACATTTGGGTTTGTTCAACACCCACAGAGCCCACCTTTAGTTTATGCTGCAACTATTCTAAGCGGAGCTTAAGGATAGAGCGCATCATCTGGCATAATCAACAGTTTGAATAACGTCAATACACTCAAAACCTCGGTCACGATGACTTGTAACTTCGTGCTGGCACAACCATTGACAAATAATTCCATCTACCCAATTTCGCTCATAAGGCTCAGGTCAAGTCTTGGTAAGGTTTATTTCAACAGTGCCTCACGAAGGTCAATAGCATCATGAAGGCACCTTGACAAATGGACCATGATGAGATTCTAAACCAGGCCTCATGGTCGAAAAGCGAAAGCTTTAACCACATGGCCACACACACACACACACACACACACACACACA